GCATCCGGCTCGGGGAGTACCGTGCGGTACTGTCCGGTACTACCCGGTACCGCGATAAACAGTACCACAGACTTAAAACAGTACCAACTTACCGTACGGTGAAATTGCAGACCGTGCACCTGAGTCTGCGGCACTGCAATGACCTGGCGGTACTTTCTGCAGAGTTCCGTACTTTCCCCCGGGCACTTCCCAATGTCGGTTTGGCTAAGTGGCGAGTGAATGTAGCGAAAAGTTCTCCCGACTACGCGTGTATTGTATCCGTCAAGTAATATGGTAGCTGTGATGACGACCCATGCACCTCTTATCTGGCGCTATCGTTTCTGGGGTTCGTCTGTGGTGAAATGGCGCTTTGAAGACGTGCGCGCTTCGATTGGAGGGAAGAAGAAACGGAAAGTGAAGATAGCTTTTGATTTGTCCCTCTTTTACTGGCCATGAACAGAGTTTCCAGGCCCATTGACTGGTTGTTCTTCATTTGGTTTCGCAGTACTGAATCCGAGCATCTGATGTGGAACTGGGCGCGATTGAAGATTGAGCTGACGACATCACAGATTCTACCAGTATTTCAAAACGCCTCAGGCTACGAAGAAGTAGCAAAACTTCGCAATAAGTTGCAAATGTACGTGTGCCAAATAAGACAAAAGTAAGAAGTGTCTAGCTGCAGAGTAGCAAAGCAGTGATGGCTTTACCACGTACAAGAGCTCGGTCACCTTTCGTTTGCTGCAATATTCTGAAGCTCGTAGGACTGTGTACAGCTCGACTGCAACACCAATTCTATAAATACTGATAAGCATCGTTTCAATATTCCATGCAACAGCTCGGGACTCGATACCAAAGGTCCACATACACAAACCGTCTTGTATTTGACATATTCAATCGAATCACAGCCTTTAATAGGAATATCTCTTAGAAGACTCGGTAGTCGACTAGGGAATCAAGGAAGGCTGAATCGCGGGCCCACGTATGATATTGCTTCAGGTTAACGTCTTCCTAGCCTAATCCTATGTCAGCTCGTTGGTTTCCTTGCCTACATGCAAGTTCAATGATTACGTTGACAAATTCAGCCGTTTCAAGTTGTTCTGTGTTATTCGAAGTTTTCAGAAAGCGCCACACATCAAAGTCATGTTCTTTACAAAATCCGAAGGCACTGTAAACCGCAGATTGTAGAATCTGAATGCTTAGCTGATCCTTCGTTGATCCTTTGCTGATCCTTCGCCCAAATTCTAGTGAGCTGGGTTGTTGATTGCAAATGGAGCCTGCCACTACTACAGCTCAGATTTTGGGCCTCACGGTCGCCTGCGATCAAATCTGTTTTGGAACCTGCGTTTTGCACTTGTCACTCTATGCTTACGGCAAATCCATCTATCAGATGGGCCGATTCATGGATAGCTCGGACAATCAATGTTGCATCGGTCTGAGCTCGGCTAGCTCAGTTGGTCGCTAGAGCTTAGAGTGCAGTTCGATACATCTGCACGTGAATATGTGCACTCCCGTTGTGGTCGGTGCGAAGGTCCGCAGGTTCAATTGCCATAGTTTGATAGTTTGCAAGTTTCTCTGGACGGAGGGGTTGGCCTGCCTCGACTTTCATAAGATCTCTGGTACTGTGGATCTGGCTTAAAGTGGGCGTAGGACGTGCACGTCTTTTCAAGATCGCACGGTGTAGCTTAAACCATCGGCAAAGTGACGGCCAAAATCGAGGGCGTCAAATTCATGACGCCGTCGGCACTTGTACGCAAATCCCGACGCCCACTTCTGAGGTGCTTCATATTAATAATGTATGCCCGGCCGCGAGGAATATCTTCGTAATAGCCGGCGCAGAAAGATTTAACCCGAATCAAGCTTGTCACCACTTGAAGCTATGGCGATAAGGACGCGTGGCCGGCCACATAATACGTAGCACGCAAGTCGCAGCTAGCCGTGTGCACGCAGCCGTGTGCACGTACGCACGTACGGTACGGTGTGGTACGGTGTGGTACGGTGTACGGCGCGCCAAGACGTTCGTCAGTACTACAGAGTTACTTCGTCAAGTCGTGGCCTCGTCACCTCAGGCCATGCAAGGCCAAGGTCCCCCGGGCCCCAAGCCCCATGCAAGCAATCGAGATTCAATGATTCGAAATCTCATCCTCGCCGTAGGGTCCGGCGGTTTTTGCGGCCGCCCGGTCGGAATCGGCGACCCTCCGTCAAAGTCGGGGCTTGCCTCGGGCACGCTTGTCTCCCGGTCCGACTTTCCTCACGTGCGCGCTGGCTTATGATTGGCCGTGGTGATGAGAGAAAGATTCCATTGGACGACTCTCCGCGTCACGTGTGTACGGACCACGATACTTCATTCAAGCACTCCCTTCAGTACGGATCCGGTGACGCCGGCTGACCGCGGTCTGACCGGTCGCGAACAGAAGCGTTGTACAAGTACGATGACATTTGACGCCGAGTCAGTTAAAGAAGTGGATTCTTACGGTGCTCCTTTGATCGTGAGCTTCCACTAACTCGAAATGTTATATGGTGTGCCGTATTTTTAATGTCTTCAAGTCTGAATGAACATACAGAGGGTGAGCCTAGTGATCGACCTACTAGATATTCATGATGCTAATGTGTGAGAATTAAAGGGCTAAATTAAAAAGCTTGAGATGTTTTCAGCGACATGTTCGGCAGTATTTCTGGCAGCTAAGCTTACTCAAGAGTCATGCGAACGAGTCGATCAGGCGTGAGCTGTAGTTTTGGCAAATTGCTTCTTCCGAAGTTACAGGCAGCTATCAATCTTAAGTTAATTCAGAATGCCGTTCACTAGGTGGGGTGAAGCGAGTCGCTCTGTATCCGGTCTGGAGAATCACTCCCTGCGTGCGTCTAGCACTGTTCTGCAGGCCAGCACAAACAGGTGCAAATAAGTATCAATTCTTGCTGAATGTGCCCAGCTGCAGCTAGTATAAAAGTGGCTCACTCAAAATGTACTCGTCATTTCCATTTGCAACTCACTTCGACCACTGATCGGAGCTGAAAGCCAAAAGCACCTTTCTCGCTCCACCCTTTCCAGTGAAGTTGCCAGCTCAACAGGATGGCCGTCGCCAAGTATCTCATCCTCTCGCTGACGGTGTTCTTCGCCGTCAGCATGACGTCGTCCGCGCAGCGCATCGGGCCGTTCGACTGTGAAGTGTGCCAGGTGAGTGCCTTGTACGTGTATGCCGTCACGTCACGCGCAACTTCTGGTTTCCTTCACACTTTCCACTTTCAGGCGCATTTCTTTCAGGTGCATCTTGTCTTCTTTTCACAAATTACCAAATAGTTGTTGTTCATATGCTCTTTCCTGATGGTGATTCTCTGTGGAGATCTGACTAAAAGCTCCCAGTGGATGGCCGGTTATAAACAGCACTTACTGCAGGATCTATTGAACTTTGCTGGAACGGAACGGACTTTCATTCGCCGAACTCCGTTGTTCTACTCTGAGCTCCCATTTGGCCTGTAGAGCTAGCTTGGGCCACATTGAAAAGCTTCCGTCAAGGGCCACCGCTTCCAGTGATATCCTCTGAGGGCTCCACTGTCAATCGCTACGTGCTATCATTATGAACCCTTTGTGCTACTCGTGGCTGTGTCTTTCCACAGGCTGGACACAGGTGTTGAATGGTCTGCCAATTTCTGAGAGCTTTTGTGTGAATGGGAAGTATGTTCCACTCAAAACCCCAAGTCATCCCAGGAGATCAGCGAACTGCCTTTCAGATTATTCTAGTCCCTCTAGCTCGATCGTCCTCTCAAAAACTCGAGGTCCATGTGTAATTCAAAAAGCTTTTGGAGACATATCGATTGTTGCTTAATGTTTTACAATCTCTCTCCTGTCCTCAGTTGAACGCCAACACCGGAGTAAAGAGCTGCAGCTTCTTTTACTACGAGGGAGTGAACAACGACTGCAACAACGCTGCGGGCTTCTCATGCAATGCGTGCCCTGCGGGTACGCCCGGCAAGGACCCCGACTGCGCCTGCTCGAAAAAGTGCCAGATTGACCCCATTGACAAGTCTACTCTGTGGCACTGCGAGTGCAACGTTAAAAAACAAGGTAGGCTCCCCATACTAGTTCCATCTATGTTGTCCAGCTGGAAAGAATCGTCGTTGAGCACAGGTCCAAACAAAATCGATCTGATCTTGTTTGGGGGCTCATTCAAGAGCCGAACTTCCAGGCAGCTGAAGTGTTTTGGGGATCAAGAAAGGGGCTCTCTGCTGGTCTCATTCAGCACCCTTTGGTTGGAAGAATTGTCTGCGCATCACTAACGGCAAGTTGAGGGAAAGTGCTATAAGCGCCTAGCACACGAGTAGCTGGAAAAAGATGAAGGACGGGTGAAGGACTAGAGAAATGCAGGCAACGGGACGGCTCCTTTGGAGATAGCCCGCTAAAGCCAGCCCAATCCAATCTGCCATCAAATTCTGCTGACTTATCCCAAAGCTTCCCCTCAACTGCTTTACACTCACTCCCGTTGCTATCCGCTGTCAGCTTTGCGTTGGCAAGCTCTTCTTGAGAAGCTTTTGAAGAGCCCACATCTTTAAGAAGCTTTTGAAAATTTCACTTAACACCTGAATCAAGTCGCTCCGTTTCTTTCAGGTACTGCCTGCTCAGACCCCCACTTCCGGGGCGCCTTCGGAATCGAGTACGACTTCCATGGACTTCCCAGTGAGTTACTCCCGAACACGTGCTCTGTCTTCACCCCGCCTCCTCGTTCTGACCTCTCCGCTATATCTGAATGCGTCGAAGGATCTGCTTTCTCCCAGATTTTTCTTACTGCCAGGCGGAATGATCAGTCCCTCAGTCTGGTCACGCGTCTCCCTCTGGTTGCGCGTGTTCACACAGAGACGCATCTCTGTCTTGCGTCTGAGTGTAGCTCCAATTGGTCACGGCCCTCTGAGCCCCTCTCCCGTACAAATCCCAAAGCCAAGCACTCCAATCAAGGCTCATCAAAACCCGGTGTGAATACGTCCTCTGACATCCCCCTCGTGTATTCTCACAGACAAGCACTTCAGCCTGGTGACGGACAAAGACATCAATGTGAACGCGCACTTCATTGGCCAGGACGGAAAGGCGACCGGCTTCGACGGAACCTGGATCTCCGCTCTCGGCTTCAAATGGAACGAAGGGGCCAACGAGAGGGAGCTGACCGTTGAAGTCAAGCAGGTGCGCCATGTTAGCTGTTGAAACTCCCCAAAAAATCGGTTATCCGTTACGGGGACTCGCTCGACAACCCATGTCTCGAACGGTCCACGATAAATAAACCCGACTTTAAAGGGAGACGTCGTGCTGGGACTGAGATGAGTTGGTCGCTTGTTCTTCAAAGCCTCTTGCGAGCAACCTGCCAGCACTAGCGGATGTCTTTGTTGGTCAACTGATTTGCTTGTAGGAGCGATAGAGAACAGGATCGGGTGGATCTGAAGTGAGAAGGTTGCGTCGGAGAGCTCAAGTCTTGCTGTCATTGTTTCTGTGCTCTTCTATCCTCCCACCCTCATTAACATACTACGCGCGTGACCTATTCACAGTGTTTCCTTTCCTTTCTGCTGCAAAGGTCAACGTTGTCTCTCCGTTCTGAAAACTCACAGAGTATTAATGCCGCACCTGTTGTCGAACAGACATTCCTTCTTCCCGACTAGCTGCCAGTCTTTACGAAAACGAAATCCTGATGCTTTTATGTTTTGACTCGAAGTCGAATCCTGACCTTTTTCCAAAGGGCATTTTGAATCATTCTCAAACGCCCCACACTTTTCCTGCAGTCCGCCGACCTCTCGACCAACGAATCGCCCTTCGTCTTCCGCCTCGGCGACCGGGAGCTCGCCCCGGGAGCCAACTCTACCGGTCGCACCCTGTACGATGACGTCGGCCTGACGGTCCGCCGCTATGCTGACGCCAGCAGCTACTACATCGACATCGCTGACCACCTCAACATCACCGTCGCCGCGGCTGAACACGACCACCCCCATGGAAACCACATCGACATCAGGATTGAGAAGCTTTACGTCACGGGTACGTCAGCATGCACTTGCTCGACGCCCTTCTTCGCTTTTCCCTTTGATTCGTACCTTCTCCTCTGTCTCCGATCCTGTGTTTTGACTTCTCGTGTCTCCCGAATTTGTAAGCGAAGCCTTTGCGAATTAGGAACGGTCTTGGGTGATTTGAGCCTGTCAATCGTCAAAGCTCCTGCCAATGAGCGCGTTCGACACTTGGAAACTGCTGATAGCGTATTGGTGCAATGGAGTTCAAAGTTCCGCTAGAGACAGACCATCGGCTATGAGGTCGCCCAATCAATGGGGCAAAGTCGCTTCTTTGGTTGCAAGAACGGCCCTAGGTTGTCAATAGTTCGCTTTTTTCCCTCCCGCTCTGTCCATCTTAAAGCACCTTGTATCTCACTCTGGAATTCTCTTGCTTCTTACAAGAGAAACAAAATAAGACAGAACATGTACGAACCGCTTTGCCTGCGCGCTTTCGCAAACGGATTTCGATGTGTAGAGCTCCTCTACGTCAGATGCTGACATCATCTGCCACCATCTGCAGAAACCGTCCACGGCGCCCTGGGCCAGACCTTCGCCGAGTCGCGCCGCGACGCGCTCCGCGCGGCCGCGGCCGACGTCGGCACCGCCGAACGCTTCGATGCGTCTGACGTCATCGAGGGCAAGGACGTCGACTACATGACGTCAGGCCTTCTGGCGACCGACTCCAAGTTCAACCGGTACGTAGCGGCGGCTCAGTCGGCAGCAAATGTCCTGAAGATGAACGTCATGCGCCGACTCCTGAGCGACCGGTTGGACGTGGCGGATGCGGTACCGGTAGAGACCGTTGGGTTTGCGTGTGATAACATGGACGGTCGCCTCAAGTGCCGTATGTAAAAAGCCTAAGGTGGTACGAGAATGGTCGCAGTTGCTTAAAAGAGACTGAAAGAGTCTTTGTACAATACTACGACGGCATCCTAGTCAGTGTTGGGTTTGCGGTGTGTTAGGATCTTGTCAGAATTGCTGGATGATATAATGGTCTGTCGAGTCATAGAAGGATTTGGAGTGCCCTTTCAGTTGCATCAGCAACCGTCACCATCTAGAGTATGCAACATATAAAGAGGCGCTAGTCGAGGAAGCCTTTGAAATAGGGCCACGTCGTTTCAGCATTTAGCGAGAGCGATCCAGGCGAGCTGTAAAGTGGAAAGAAGAAACCTGAGAAAGAGGGACTTAGACTGCGGACTTGGGTAGAAAGCTTTCAGGGTTTATTTTGCTAAGGCTCGGATCAGGTCATTTGGGTTGGGGGCTATCAAGCCCTTGCAGTTTGAACTCTACCGTCGCATGTAAGGAACAGGCGCGACCATGGTCAATCTCGCGGGAGTCGTACGTTCAGCTAGCTAGCTAGGAAGGATTAAGAGTCGACTCTCACCATGTGTGACGAACATATTACAAAGAGTAGTTCTGACACGAAACTGCAGTCAAGGCCGGAGACCGTGACAAGCTTCCGACGTTCAGGAACGGTTCTGTCCTGCTTCTTTCAGGACTTCCGTCGTGCTTCTAAACCTGCCTATGAAACGTCTGTCACACCATCGAATGCAAGCAGTCAAAGCTGATCAAGTACGGTGCACCCATATATACTGCACGTAGGCCTGACACGCAGTGCCAGATACTATGCACATGCAGGGTATGTGTATACATCCAAATGGTCAGGAAATTGCTCTATGCCTCCAGTAATCCGGCGGCACATCATAGTTCTTCCCACATGGCACTGCGGCAGGCCGGGCTGGTACGAACTTGAACTTACAACTTGAAGCGATCCTAATACCGTACGGCTGCTGGATCATAGTTATGTATGCCATATACTAGGAGCCTATGGCTGAGTCATGTGGCTACGGCGTTTTGAAAAGAGCACATCACCAGACGAGCATTCAATGCCAGTTCGATGTATCAATGAACAGACTTCACTGACTTCAAGGTGACCCGCTTGGGCAGTTAATTGCTGGGTTTGCCGCGGATCGGATGCAGAGTGTACAAGATCCCCTCTCAAGCCTCAGCCCGTTTGTCCGATCGAATAGCGAGTATGCAGCAGTTCCTAACAGGTTAAGTCAAGAACGTGGAGCTCCCACGCATACATATTACGCATATAGAAATACAATACAATACAGTGATCCAACGACCAGATCGGTACGCAAGTTCCCAATCTGCTGGAACTGGTCGTTTCCTACCTACCTGCCACTCGAGTGCCTGATTGATCTGCCTCACAAGTATTCATTTAACGCTTGCGATCAATTACCCCACCTATGCTCGAATTATACCTACACGGGCGCAAGGTCGCGAAGCGCTATTTTACTATGGTACGGCTGGCGTTATGTGCAACTTACACAAGCTAAAGCACGATAAGTCTTGATCACAGCGGGTCCAGTCAAACATAACATACTACAGTGATCTACCAAGCTACCGTTCAGCAGGGGGGCGGGCCACCCACCTTCCGTTCGTGTGCGGAGGCATTGATTGCTAAGAAGCAACGTGACTGATACCCGAGGCCTTGATCGCTTGCTTACCAGAGAAGACTGGTTGGCCCGTATCTTCTCGGTCGCAGACCCGCGTCGGCTCGCTGCCTTAAGCAGGTCTTGTACAATTGTACACTCCTATACCCCGCATGTGAAGACCGTTCCAACCTTTTGAAAGGCCCCCTACAACGGAAGATGCGGTCAGGCCACAAACACTGCCGAAGCGCACGGCGGCGAAGCCGTACGAGCCGCCAGCTGACGCTGCTACCAAAACAAAAAAAAGGCCTTATGCAAAATTTTCTGCGGCAACCCCTTTTGACGCGTCTCCCAGCCCCGGTGCCTCAACCATCCAAACGCAAATCTGCTCCTTTTACAAGCCTATCCCTACGCGCTTCGCTCATTCATCTCTTTTCAGCTTCTCTCCGGCCCCCTTTTCTAGTGTAACCGGGCCACCGTACCCTGTTCAAAAGCCCTCGTAATCCTTCCCGGTCAACGGGGGGAAGTCTCCCTCGTCAGGGGAGTCCCCTTCTGCGCCTGCGTCCGCGGCCGCGTCCGCACCGGCGTCCGACAGGAGGCCACGTACGTCCGAAGTGTCGGGATATGCTCCCAGGGACGGGGCCCGGGAAACCGCACTACCCGCCTCGAGCCAGTCGAGATCGTTAGGGACGCTCGGCGACCGCGTGTAGTCTAGAGCAGCCGGGGGAGCCTGCATGCAAGAATCTTCAGTTCAGCAATAGTAAGCTTTAACAGTAGTAAGGTAACCATCCTGGGAAGGGTAGGGTTAGTTTGGAGGTTAGTGTGGGTTCAGGTGCGGAGTGGTGCTTCTGTGCTTCTGTGGGTTAGCTTTTTACTGTTAGTGCAGGAGCTTACTATTGTTAGAGTTTACCATTGCTCAAAAGACTCCCTGCATGTTTGGGGGTTAACCTTGGTCGGTTACGGGCTTGTTAGAAGCTGGTTCTAACAAGAAGGTTACCAGGTTCGGGGCGGCGGCCACACCTTGACAACGTTAGAGCACAGTTATTTGTCCGACAACCACACTGGCGGCCTGATTAGAAGCAAAGCATCCTGCGAGAGTCTCCTTACCAAGCTCGCTGCAAAGGTGTCCTTGACGTGGTCGGTGATTCTCCAGAAGAAGTCGGGCGGGGGGGAGAGCGAGATCCCCGGGTGCTGGAGCCCACCCTCGGCGCCTGGTGGAATCGGATCTACCGGGGGGAGGACGAAGCTGGAGACCGGAAGCAGTAGGGTAGTGGATACCGGGCTAAGCGCCTGGAGAGAAAAGATGAGAGCCGAGGCCTTTGGGATCGTTGACCTTTGGGATCGTTGAGTCGAGTGTCACAGTTGGGCCTTGAGTATCGTAGACTTTAGTGGCACAGTTGGCCTTTGGAATCGTTAATCAAGTGGCACAGTTGGCCGTTGGAATCGTTAATTAAGTGGCACAGTTGGCCTTTGGAATCGTAGAGTCAAGTGCACAATTGGCCTTTGAAGTTGTTGAGCCTACGTGGCACAGTTGAAGAACACAGAGATGTGCGGCTTGAGCTAGAGAAACTCCTCCATTCCGAAGGGCGTCGAAGGCACTAATGACTGCCACAAAAGTCAGAAGGAAGGTGCTCTTGGAACCCAATAGGTAGCCCGTACAAGCGACCGTCTTTGAATGATAGACCGTCGTTAGATGACGACTCGTTTCAGAGTCGGAACTCTTGCGTTTTGGGAGACCTGGTCCTCACTTGGATGCCTTAACACGGAACGAATACCCCAAAGGTGTGAGCTTCAGCAAAGAAAAACAGCGGCAGATAAGAATACAACGACGTACGTGCCGTTTTGAGATTGTCGCTTCGAGCGAGATTGCAAAAAAGCAATCGAAGTCAGCCGAGCCAAGCTACTCTATCGAAACTCTCGCAAGCCTGCACACGAAAATGGTTCTTCCAAGGATGGCGCTAAAATTTCGAGACTTAGCGAAGAAAGAGAGCGGCAAACAATCTTAGTTACGTGCCGTACCGAGAATATAACCGTTTTCAAGCGGATCCGGAAAAGCAATCACTATTTGCGGATCACCCAAGCTACTCTCTCAAGCCTGCACAAGTAAAAGGTAACTCTTCCGAGGGCAGTTCTTCAGCCTGAAGCACTGTTGGATAGAAGCACGGCCTACCCAGCTTAAGCTCTCACTTACCACGAGCCCCTGATCCGGGTGCTCCGGAGCTTGCACCGGCGACAGTCCTCGGGCCGGGCCGAGGCTCAAATCGGTCGCCGGATCCCAGGGCGGGTTCTGCGGAAGTTCCGTCTGCTGAGGACCTTCCCACGGGTCAAGGCTTTGGACAAAATTCTCCTGCCGGGGGTATTCACCGCTCGGGTTGTCGACTCTGACGCGCAGGTTGTTGGTTCTGGACATGCCGCTGAGGGACGTAATCCGCTGTCTCTGTGTCCGCGGGCGGATGTCCGTTGCAACCGGCCGGAACGGGGGTGGCGCTGCGTGGCGGCAAAGAAAGATCTAGAGACGAGCTAGAGACGCAAGAAGCTCATGATGGAATTTGACTTCTTTTGGGTGCGAAGCTGTTCCGAATCAACAGATGCATCCCCTACTGCAAGTTCAAAGGCTTGCATAAAGTCCACTCTTTCAATATGTGACTGCTTGGGATACGAAACTCGCACGACAAAAAAACTTGTGCAAGCCGAACGGAATCCACCAGCACAAGCCTGTCTAATGTGATTGTTCTGTATTTCGGGAAACGCTCTGCTAGACGACGGAGCTATATGTTTTTCTGGGTGTAGAGGCTCTTACTCAGAAATTGCACTCTCCGGCTCTCGTCAAGCTCCCTTGGCTCCTCAGTCTGGTGTCCTTTGCAGCCGCTGCGCTTCAGTAGGACCTAAAGACGCTCGGAGAAAACGACTTTGTCACGCTAGGTTAGGGAGCGCGAAAAGCTGACTCACCCGGTTGGACGGCGGGGCCCCAGCTGTCCCCGGTTACCGTCCAGATCCCGGCCCTCAGCTGCACCGGTTGCCACGGGCTGCTTTCGCCGTCGAAGTCGCCCTGGAAGCGCCAGGGCGCGCCCCCGAGGACATTCACGGCCCGGGGACTCCTCATTCCCCCCGCAGGGGCCTCCGTCGGCCTTGGAAAGGTCCCCCCCGGGACATGTGAAAATCCCGGTCCGCCTGAGACATTCCGACTCCCTGAGGGCGGAAAGCGGAACATCGCCGGGGGCCCGGCGGTCGTTGACGAGAGCTTCTCTGGCTCGGGCTCGCAGCTCGCCATGAGCTGTTGTAGCGTCCAAAGGGGCGCGCTCGCGGCCGCCCCGCCTGAACCGTACGGCCCGCTGGCGGTGGAGGGAGCTGGGAACCGGGCAGTGCTCGCGGACGGTACGCTGATTGCGGACGGTTGACTGGTCAGGGAACGGACGCTCCTTGGAGAGGGAAACCTTAAACTGGTCCGCGGCCGCGGATTGGCTGCGCTCTGAAGCGGGGACGGGCCGCCAAAAGGAGCGGAGGAGCGTTCCGCCGGAACGATCCTCGGGGCAGTTGGCGCGAGCGGCAGTGGGGAGGACAGGAGGAAATCGTCCCTGTCAAGAAGTGGAAAATTAAGGGCGTCACAGGGAGCCTGGAAATGAAGAAGTGGAGCATTCAAGCAGAAGGCAGCTTCATAGACCTACACCATGATGATACGACCTTAAACCTCAGGAAGAAAGACCCTTCTCGTGAGATCGAAATCCAAGTTTAGATGTTTAAAGTCCTCGGAGGAGCGGAAGAGGAGCCAAATCAATCCCAAGCTATGTTTGACAGCACCAGGCCTCAGAACAATTCGCGTGCCTCCTTGCAAGGTCTGCACTCAATCTAGTTTGTTAATCCCTTTGACACTTTCTTCCCTTTTTAAAGCAATGCCACACTTGTTTTCGCGTCCTAGACTCAGAAAGACTACTTCAGCGGAAGGCTCTTCTTGGCCAAGCCGCAAAAGTCCTTAAAGTCCTCCAAGCAAATACATCTGAAAGCACATTACTAGAGACATCATGGTGTCAGATTGCAAGGAGAGTGTTGGTATAAGAGGAAGCTCACACTGAGAATGGCTGCTCAGGACCTGGTTGCGCCAACCATGACCCGTGGCTCTCGCTAGCTCGGGACTGTACGCTTTGTGGCGCGATAGAGACAGGCGGGTATCCCAAAGGGTAGCGAGGGAATCCTCCAGCAAGGCTCGAACTCCCCGTTCCCGCAGGGAACTTGAAAGTCCCTTCCTGCAGAAAAGGTTTTACATGCCTGTCAAACTGGACAAGGTTGTTGAGCTTGCTACTTTCGAAGTATTTAGAAGCTGAACTGTCGAAATTCGATCTGCAACAGAAGGTTGTAAGAGAACGACTCGAAATTTCGAATTAGGTGGTCATCTCTTCGACTCTGGTCGACCGTGATTCTATATTGTGGAAGTATCCCAGAGTAAAACGCAAAGCTAACTTGAAAAAGCGTCTCTAGGTTCACACTCTTTTGACTAAGCTGCAAACACTCTGCAACAAAAGCATTCCAACAAACCAGTGTCAACCGCTCTTCGTCAACCCCAAGATCTCATAGAACGCAAAAAGTTCGTTATTTGCTTCGTCAGTACCTGGGTGAGGTCCCACGCCGTATTTCTTTGATTAGCGCCTCGTCCCTGGGGTGCAGATTGTGCCCGCGCACTGTCCCCTTCTGTGTCGATGCCGCTGGTTGCAGAGATCGGGCGCTGCTTCTGATTGGTGGACAGCTCGTTGGACTCGATGCTGGAGGCCATGGCAAAACGTGGCTGCTTCGCTAGGTCGAGCTCTTTTCGCTTCCGCTCGGCCCGCTTCAGCTGCGTGTACCACGCATTCTTGACCTCATTGTCGGTTCTGTGGAAAGAGGATCGTTCGGTCAGAGCCGAGAAAGGAGCAAGTCAAAGCATAGGTCTTATTCTTTGTGTGCAACTGTAGAACTGGAAGTGAGGAGACGATCAAACTCAAGCTCTAGCTAGGGAGCAGAAGTTGAAATTTTATCCAGCTGAACGGTTGAATGTTCGGTAGCATGAAGAAGCACAGCAAACGGACTTTCAGCTCGGCTTGCACCGACTACCCTTTGGAATGTTGCCGGTGCCAGCTCAGCAGCGTCTTTCCGGCTGACGACACAGCATTTCTTCCGATTTCTTCCGCCCTGCCTCTGGCTCCTAGAAGCACAACAAAATCTGGAGACGATTTGCGAATTTCTCAACCAGGAATTGTCCACTTTTTCAAACATCAGTCATGCAGTGCCAGATTATCTAACAAAACATTCATCCTTATGAGCTGGTTATGTGTAAGCGCAGGACCGGCAGATTAGCAAGAGACAAATAGCTGTTTGAATGCTCTTGCGGCAGGGAGATGCAGACTTCGAAACGACCTTTTTCAACCAAGTCTTGCTGCCACCGCTCATTCAAAGACGATCTCTGTACAAAATTCTGAAGAAGCCATTCTTCGCACAAATGTTGAAGGTCAAACCTTGCAACCAATCAGCGTTCCAAGATGTTTATGCAAGAAAGTTGAGAGCCCGAGCAAGGAGGAGGACAGGAGCGATAATGAAGGGAAAGGAAAGAGCAACCACAAAGACAGGAAAACGACGCTACTGAAACATTCAAACGACTGACTGAACTGAAATGGTCAACGACAATCATGGAATCAAAGGCGTCACCTGCCAGGGAGCTTGCTGGCGATGGTGGTCCATTTGTTTCCGTAAAGCTTGTGCAGCTCGATGATTTGTGCCCACTCTACGTCCGAAAGTGGAGTCTTCTTGAGGCTGGGTGCAAGGTGATTCTTGAAGCGGAGACGGCAGCTCTTGTCAGAGCGGTTGAGCCCGTACACTTCCTGCAGTTTCAGAGGGTCAGCTGTCGACTTGTGACGAAGAAACGCTGTTTGCATATGAAGGGTGAATCAGGGCTCATAATCCTGTAATCCAAAAAGCAATGAATTTCCTCATGTAGGCTTAACTCGAGTGGTATCGTAATGGCAGGGTCACCTGCGAACTTTGTCTATTGGCTTGTATGCTGACTCGAAAGATTTGGTATGCATTTTATATCGTTCTGTTAGAGTGCGAGTGCGCTCTTTCAATGTCGGAGCCATCAGACCTGACATCTAACGGCGCTGGATGGTCCAGTCAAACCCAACAATTCCTATGTAGCCAATTCTTCAGAAAAGCTTGCAATTTGAGATTCTGGTTGGAACAGGAGGTCAGGAAGAAAATGTTACCAAGGGGGTGAAAAAGCTGTAGTCTCACGCTTGCTTTTCTCCAGTGCGCCTCTCCATGCGCTGCAACGTGCAGCAGCAGAATGCTGTCCTCTTTTTTTGACCAAGAGCGAGAACCCCGGCTCAGGTTAAGCCCTTTTCTAGTCCCCTCCCGCCCCCCCCTTCCCTTAGCTTGACCAGCATTCCAATGCTGCCCTCCCCAGGCTGAATCAGGCAAGGCTTCCCCTCCATCAGCCCCCTCCTGAGAAACATGCTGAGTATCAACTGCAGGAGCACAGTCCTCCATAGGGCTGGACTCATCACAGAAAAGGACTGCTTTGTCTGAAGTGGCCTGTCTGTGTAGCCTGAGATGACCCTCGGGGTCTGACTGCTTTGCTGACAAGGCGTCTCCAGCGCCGTGGAAACCTGCAGTTGCTGAGCTGCCTGGCTCTGAAAACGAGCGAGCGAACCAGCCATCATCAGTGGAGGGATCTTTTCTTACAGGCCTAATACTGTCTACAGAATGACTCCTCTTCTGAGCTCCTACACTGGAGCTGATCAAAGTACCGTGTGCCAAATGGGGTGTTACCTGACTCAGGAATGCGTCTGCAGCTAATATAGCCTCTGTGGCTTGACATCCTTGGCTTTTTACTGAGCCCCGGCTAGGCAGCCTTGCCGAGGACTCCTCTTCCTTAATTTCCTTCTTGACTGGATGCGGTAAACTGGTACTCAGCCCGCGCTCAGACATGCTGACTGCTGGTACAGTCTTCTACCTCCGCCCCCCACCACTACATGCTGGAGCACCTTCCTCACCATCCACGCAAGTCTCAAGCTTTCAGGCTTGCCCTGGCAGTCCTCGTTCTCACAGACCTGTCAAGGAGCAAAAGAGAAGCTCTTCAAGGTGAGACCTTTCTGTCATATTTGCAGTCCATGCTCCCAGCAATTGTATATGCATGTTCTGGATTCATTCAAGCTTTTGAGACCTCAACTGTGCCCCATAGGACCTGCAACACACAAAAAATCAAAAATCAAAGAGCCAATGCAGCCCAAGCTGAAAGTTCGTCCTGGCATCCAGGGCAGTCTCAAGCAAGAGCCAAAATGATAGTGACGAGTGGTGGATGCATGGTATTAAGGTACCACTTTCTCAGAGAACTGCACATGCTTTCCTGCTATCCCTTATTACCTAACATATATGGCGGGTGAAGTCCAGACTGAACAGGACTATCTCAGTTCTATACATCCGTAGGAAATTTTTGCAAGATGTATCTCCTACCAATTTTGAGCCAGCTTTCGTTGGCATCTGATTGTTGCAACTACGGGGGGCTAGAATTGCTGCCATATTAAAGAGGGGGCTGTGTGTTCTGTGCTAAGCCTCCCCAGGGAACCACCTCATACAATACTTGTGGAATTACCACTGACTGAAGCGGTGAGTTGGACTCCCACTGCTTCTAGAAAGATGCGCCATGTGTTCACAAGAATGTCTAAGGAAGACATCGCTTTGCAAAGGACAAATTCTGGGCTTTTTGTCGTGCTCTTCGTTTTGCAACTTGGCGCTGGTGTATCATGCACATCACCTGCATTCCTGCACGATTCAGGAAATATATCCGCCAACATGATGTTCGACGAATTCATTCGGCAAAAAAGGAGGCGCAACTTGCACCAGCAGCTTCCGCAACACCAACAAGCAATCATGCATCTCAGAACTTGAAGAGCTCACCTAGAAGTTGCTTCCTGCAAGCCGGAGCGCGTGTACTCGCTTCTCCACGATTCAATCCACTGCGCCTTCGACTCTGTAGGCAAGACGTCCCATCAGCCTTCAATTGCCTGTCGCAAACGTCCAGTAATCTCGCAACCATGATCGCGCTTCTTCCTCAAAAAAGGAGCCTGGTCTTCACAAGTCGCGACCAAATTCACTTGCAAAGTTGCATGAGAATTCGAACTCATGGATCAAGTTCGGAGGATTACACCACCGGTATAGGTAGTTAATTCTGAAGGGGTGGCCCCTTCAGACGTGTTTCCGTGTAAAATTTAAACTCGAGTTCCAAAAAGGCGGCCAAAATATTCCCAGCCTCCCGACATTTTCGTCAGTTCAGCGCAGTTCGCTTTTTTATAGAATGGCGAACAAAACAAGAAACCTTCGACTCAGCCTGCTTCCGCCAAATGGGACCGCCGGATTCGAGATGACCAAAGGGCTGATGCAATCCCGCGTCATGGCTGGGCCGAGGTGCCACAGAATTCGAATCCTGCTCGGCTTGCCGCTTCACGTACGGCGGAGGGCCAGCTAAGCGCCCGGAGCGCCGGATCGAGGGCCAGCTGAGCGCCGGCACTGAGCCTCTGTCACGGCTCACCAGGCGGCACGGGCCGGCCGCTGTACCCACAATTGACGGCTGAGCTGTGACGGGAACTGACGGAATTCCGACTTGGATCCCACTGTCCACATCTTAGATATACGTACCTACCTCGGTCAGTCACTGCTTTCCGGATTTCCGTACAGGCCACGTGCCCACCATGCTGGAATTTACGAAAGCCAGCGCAAGAGAACTTGGACTTGGCGGCCGGGCGGGCAGCAAAGAAACCCCGGGGCCCCGCCGGTGCCGAAGGTATCCCGCCGGCTGGTCACGGTCAGTCCGGTACGTT